AAAGATACTTCTCTCTAAGAACCTCTCTGTTATTTTCAATTACTTTGTTACAATAAATTCCCAGAAGTATAATTCATAGATCAAACAGTATAAGGTGTTTTTTCCCCTTGGGTAGTGGTGGTGAAATACTTGATTATTTTTAGTTTGTTATTTGTTTCTATGCTTAAATTCTATTGCAGTATTTATTGCTTATAAACTTGAATGATTCTTATTGCTGTCTGTTGGGTTTGGGTATACGTGAATCAGACTTTTCTAATATAAAGAACTACCATAAAGCTGCAGTTCTTGAGGAAGTCCCATAAATACAGTAGGAACATTTTATAGGTTTCAGCGGGGATTCTGTAACTGTACAGTGGAAAATCTGTTCTGCAGTGGCTTAGGGTATAATATTACCCTCACTTAGCAGTTAAGAAAATGAAGCAACATAAAGAACAGTGTAAGGAAGTTAGAGCAATTTAAAAAATAACTAAACCTATTAAGTGCTCAGGAAGAAGCAAGTTAAACAGTTTAAAACATGCTTAAAGCTAAAGACCACATATACTCATTGTCTCAGAGCTTGGTTCTTTATAGGGAAATGAATTGTTCTATTCTCTTTCTTATATGTTGTAGAAATTTACAGATGACTTGTCCCAGGCTTTATAATACTTTCTTTTAATTCCTCACCAGAGGATATGTTTTTTATTTGTTTGTTTGTTTCTTAAAGGATCTTTATTGAGGTAAAATTAATTACAATGTAATTTATTCCTTCTAAGGAAGGGAGAGGGAGAGAGAGACAGAAACATCAATGATGAGAGAGAATCATTGATTGGCTGCCTCCTGCACACCCCCTACTGGGGATTGAGCCCGCAACCTGGGCATGTGCCCTTGACCGGAATCGAACCCCCAGGCTTTATAATACTTTCTTTTAATTCCTCACCGAGCCAAACCGGATAGGGCTGTTTGTTTGTTTCTTAAAGGATCTTTATTGAGGTAAAATTAATTACAATGTAATTTATTCCTTCTAAGTATACAGTTCAGTGATTTTTAGTAAATTTATAGTTATAACCATTACCTCAGTCCAATTTTAGAGCATTTACGTTACCCTAAGAGGATTTTTTATGCCAATTTTCAGGCATTGCCCTTTACAATTCCCAGTTACAGGCAATTACTAATCTACTTTTTGTTTTTATATTTTAGCGTTTTCTGGACATTTCATAGTAATGGAATCATACAATGTGTGGCCTTTTGCATGTGGATTCTTAGCATAATGTTTTTGAGGTTCATTCAAGTTATGTGTATCAGTAGCTTGGTGGGTTTTGGTGCAGAAATACTACTATCCCATTGTGTGGATATTACACATTTATTTATCCTTTTATCATTTGATGGGCATTTAAGTTGTTTCCACTATGGGGGTATTATAAAAATGCTGCTACGTGAATATTCGTGTTTATGAATATTTTTTGTGAGAACATGTTTTTAGTTCTCTCGATGTAAACCTAAGAATAGAATTTCTGGGCCAGAGGATATGTTTTTATTGATTTTAGAGAGAGTTCAATGTGACAGAGAAATACCAATTGGTTGCCTCCCATCAAACCCACAACCTAGGTATGTGCCCTGACTGGGAATCGGACCTGCCACCTTTTGGTGTACAGGATGATGCTCCAGCCAACTGAGTCACCCAGCCAGGGCAGTAATACTATTTTTTAAATAAATGATTTGTTGCTTTTAATAACATTCTGTATATGGGGTGGGGGCAAAAGTAGGTTTATATTTATGAGTATGCAAAACAGTTTATTCTTGTATTATTATTTGCTAGAGGCCCAGTGCACAAATTCATGCACCAGTGGGGTCCCTTGGCCTGGCCTGTAGGATTGGGCCAAAATCGGCTCTCCGACATCCCCCGAGGGGTCCCAGATTGCAAGAGAATGCAAGCCAGGTCAAGGGACCCCACCAGTGCAAAATTGGGGCCAGGGAGGGACGCAGGAAGCTGGCCAGCCCAGGAGGGACCACAGGAGGGCTCCAGGGCATGGCCAGTTTTGCTCAGTCCCAATCAGCCAGACCCTAGCAGCAAGCTAACATACCAGTTGGAGTGTCTGCCTCCTGGTGGTCAGTGCATGTCATAGCGAGCGGTTGAGTGGCCTTAGCATATCATTAGCATATTACGCTTTGATTGGTTGAATGGCCAATGGGACGACCAGACACTTAGCATATTAGGCTTTTATTATATAGGATTGTATTATTTTCATATGTACAACTGTAAGCCTATTTTTGCCCCACCCAGTATATTTGTATGTGGAAAATACAAAGTATAGTTGTCAGTTCAAAGTGATTCCTCACATATCTATATATATATAAGCCTAAGCAACCGGTTGGTAGCTATGATGCGCACTGACCACCAGGGGGCAGATGCTCAATGCAGGAGTGGAAACCACAGGCATGGAAACATGGAACAGACTGATGAATCTCAGAGGGAAGAGGGGAGGGGAGAGGAGAGGGTGGGAAGAGATTAACCAAAGATCTTATATGCATACTAGAAGCCTGGTGCACAGAACCCTGCGGGGATCAGGGTGAAACCAGCTCTCCAACATTCCCCGAGGGGTCCTGGATTGCAAAAGGGTGCAAGCCAGGCTGAGGGACCCCATGGGTGCATGAATTCATGCACTTGGCCTCTAGTATTAAAATAAGACAAAACAAAAATCTATTCTAATCTGACTCATTAGAGCAGCGTTTCTCAACCTGTGGGTCGCGACCACTTTGTGGTTCGAACGACCCTTTCACGGGGTCGCTTAAGACCATCGGAAAACACATATATAATTACATATTGTTTTTGTGATTAGTCACTATGCTTTAATTATGTTCACTTTGTAACAATGAAATTGGGGGTCACCACAACATGAGGAACTGTATTAAGGGGTCGCGGCATTAGGAAGGTTGAGAACCACTGCATTAGAGCAAGTGACAAAGCTGCTTAATGATTATTTGGATTTTAAATAATTAGGTTTTATTTGAAATAATGGTGGTTAAAGTTTCATCTGTGAAACTCTGAGATTTGCATTATCATTTGCTTTTCTTAGGAACTTCAGTATACCAGTTCTAATCCTTCTCAAAAGTTTGCAGTTCTCACCTTTTGGTGTATATTTATAGGCAGTCACTGATACACCCTCTCATATCTGGTACATACACATACTAAAAATAGCACCAAGCTGATCATCATTCTACCCAAACCAACTCCTTATTCTGTCATTGATACCCCCAGTTTTCTTGATATTCAGTTTTAAGATCTTGAAATCATTCCTGACTCTTCTTATCTACTCCCCACAACATCTAGTTAATCTCCAGGACATAACAGCTTTTTTTTTTTCCCCCACAGTGTCTCTCCCTCCATTCTTCCTTTCTGTTTTTTCATTGCCACCACCTTAACCCTCGAACTCCTGACTCCTAGATCACTGCAAGTCTTCTAGTTGGTCTCCCACCCTCCAGTCCCTCCCCAATTCATTGTGTCTTGCACATTACCAAACTGTTCACATTTGAGATTCTCTGATTCTGAGCTCTTAACTTCATCTGCAATTATCCAATCAAAATGGATTGTTTGTTGTTTCCTGTACAAACTGTCCACAGTCCCAGCTTCATACACATATATCAGTTAATGTTTATCAGTTACCATAATGATGCACCTCAGGAATTTTATAATTTACCCCTTTCTCTTCAGTGAGGTAGCTGTAAATATCATATGATGTTAATGTTGGTGATATTTTTTACAATTTTCAATAAGTAAATTTCAAGTTATATAGAACTTTATTTCATTATTGTTTAGAAAAAAAATGGTTTATTCCAAGAAATCACATCACTCTAAAGTTTTACCAGTTGCAAAAAAAGAAATGCAAACTTTGTAAAAATAAATCAAAACAAAATCACCTTTTTGTATAAAGATGCTGCTTTTTATTCTAAGAAAGACATTTTTGTGGCAAAAAATAATATCTTCTCGTATTGGGAAAGTAAATTTTGAAACTAAAAAATACTTAAAGAAAATGCCAGATCTTAGAAAGGTGACTTTTAAAAAATATATATATTTTATTAATTTTTTTACAGAGAGGAAGGGAGAGGAATAGAGCGTTAGAAACATCGATGAGAGAGAAACATCGATCAGCTGCCTCCTGCACACCCCCTACTGAGGATGTACCCACAACCAAGGTACATGCCCTTGACCGGAATCGAACCTGGGACCCTTCGTTCCGCAGGCCGATACTCTATCCACTGAGCCAACCGGTTAGGGCGAAAGGTGACTTTTATATCTATATCAAGTAGTCTATAATTTAAATGTAAATGAACTCATTTATAGAAATTAAGGCAGGTAAAAAGAAAAGTCTAAAGTTACTTTAGAAACTGAGGATTGCCCTAACTGGTTTGACTCAGTGGATAGAGCGTCTGCCTGTGGACTGAAGGGTCCCAGGTTTGGTTCCAGGCATGTACCTTGGCTGCGGGCACATCCCCAGTAGGGGGTGTATAGGAGGCAGCTGATCGATGTTTCTAACCCTCCCTTCCTCTCTGTAAAAAAATCAATAAAATATATATTTTTTTAAAAACTGAGGATAAGTACAAAGTATTTTACAAATATTGTAAAAAGAGTATTCAAGAACCATTAAAGAATGCCCTGTTCATAAATTAACAAAAAGGCAAATGAATTTAGTCTTAGAGTAAAATACAGTGAACCATACCAGCACCCAAGTGATCGTGCGCCATAATAGTGCTTCTGGGACATGACATACTTCAGCAATCATGTCCAAAGGGTGGCTGGGGATTGCAACACAACCAGCTTTAAACAAAGAAACCACAGAGGTTCCAGGGTTACCCCAGCACTTATCAGGAGGCACATCTGACACAAAATACCTTCAGTGGAGGAGGAATTAGTTTGTATCATTTGTCTTTGCATAATCTAGAATGACAAATGCATCCCCTGCCACCCTTTTCCTGCCTTCTTCAATTGTAAAGCATGCTTTACAGTTGTTTTGTTTTTTTTATAGGGATCATATGCAATGGTCAAAAGAGGAAGAAGCAGCAGCCAGAAAAAAAGTAGAGGAAAACTCAGCTGAGCGAGTCCTTCTGGAAGAACAAGGTAGGCAACTAACTGTGGTAGCAGCTCCCGGAGCCCAGTTTTCTGTTTGACCTTCCACTGATTCAGTTCACACTTGAGGCTCTTTTTCCACTGACTGTGTCATTGCTTTGGGGAGTTCTTTACTTCTACCTGTGCCATGTACTTGTTCCATTTGGGAGAATGCCCAGGTTTTTCAGTTCAGTGGAACCAACTTAATGAAATAAAGTATGTATTCACCTTGTACTTGCTCTTTTTTTAGTCATATTGTTGCTCTTTCTGGGAGACACACGCACATGGGTGGCATTTCAAACAAGATTTGAAAACATCACTTTAAAATTTTCCTCTCGTTAGGAGTCCTTTAGTATCTGCTGTGTGTTTCACTTGTTAGTAATGTTAACAAATTCAAACACTTTCAGCAAAGAAGGTAAAGTCATATCAAAATCTTGCTGGTCTCTTAGGATAAATATAAAGTTCCAATATATAAGGATTTAAGGTAACTTTTCTTGAAAGCCATTGATATTTAGAGTTTAATTCAGATAAAGCCTTGCCAGGCCTTCAAAAATGGCTTCTGAAAAATTGATCTGTGCAACTATCACACACAAAAAAAGAAAGCATGTTGGTGAGGATGTAGAGAAATGGCAACCCTTTTGCCTTGTTGGTTGAATTGTAAAATGGTGCAACTTTTATGGAAAGCAGTATGGAAGCACCTTAGAAATTAAAAATGAAGCTACCATATATGATCTAGCAACCTCGCCTCTGGACATAGCAAAAAGAAATAGAAAGCAGAGTCTTGAGAGATATTTGTACATCCATGTTCATAGCAACACTATTCACAATAGGCAGAAGGTGGAAGCACTCCACATGACCATCGGTGGATAAAAGGATAAAAAAATGTGGTAGATACACACAACGGATTATTGTTCAGCCTTAAAAAGGAAGGAAACCCTATCACATGCTATAACCTGGAGGAACCTGGGGGACATGTGAAATGAAATAAGCCAGTCACAGAAAGGCAAATACTGTATAATTCCATATATATGTGGTATTAAAAGTAGTCATATTCATAGAAACAGGAAGTAGAATGGTGGTTACCAAGGCCTGGGGGACAGGGGAACACCAGAGTTGTTTAATGGGTATAAAGTTTCAGATTTGCAAGATGAAAAAGTTCTAGACATCCATTTAACACTATGGAACTGTACACTTAAAAATGGTTAAGATGGTAAGTTTTACGTTATGTGTTTTTTAACCATAATTTTTTTTAAAAAGTACCCCCCAAAATGACTTCTGTCCTTACTATGTTGCTGGGAACCCACAGACATTCTGCTGAACATCTGTAGATAGGATTTTTTTTAACCTTATTTTGCTTAAAATCATTTCTTCTTAACACAGCTTGGTTCTTTTTCCTTTAAAAAAAATTTATTGAAGTAGCACATGCAGAAATGTGCACAACTTATAAATGAACTAGAGGCCTGGTGCACCAATTCATGCATGGGTTGGGTCCCTCTGGGTGGCCTGCAAGGATTGGGCTGAAACCCGCAGTTCAGCGCCGCCTGCAGCTCCTACCTGCTGCTCCACTCATCCTGGCCCCACTGTGCCTGCTGTGGGCTCACACCCAATCAGTCCCGATTGGGAGAGGCTCGCGCTGCTATAGCAGCACTTGCCAGCCATGAGCCCTGCATCTAGTGCCCTCCCAAGGGGAGTGGCCTACGGAATCAGGCTGAAACCAGCTCTCTGATATCCCCCGAAGGGTCCTGGATTGCGAGAGAGCGCAGGCCAGGATGAGGGACCCCACCGGTGCACGATCAGGCCGGGGAGGAACTGTGGGAAGGCTCCAGAGCATGTTCGGCTCATCTCAGTCCTGATCGGCCAGACCCCAGCAGCAAGCTAACCTACCAGTTGGAGCATCTGTCCCCTGGTGGTCAGTGCACGTCATAGCAACTGGTCGACCAGTTTACTGTCTGCCCCCTGGTGGTCAGTGCACGTTATAGCAAGTGGTTGAGCAGCCTTAGCATATCATTAGCATATTACACTTTGATTGGATTCCCAGTCGTTCTGCTGTTAGGGTCAGTTTGCATATTACCCTTTTACTATATAGGATAGAGGCCTGGTGCATGGGTGGGGGCCGGCTGGTTTGCCCTGAAGGGTGTCCCAGATCAGGGTGGGGGTCCCGCTTGGGTGCCTGGCCAGCCTGGATGAGGGGATGATGGCTGTTTGCAGCTGGTCACACGCCCTTCAGGGTGGGGGTCCCCACTGGGGTGCCTGGCCAGTCTGGGTGAGGGGCTGAGGGCCGTTTTCAGGCTGGCAGGTGACTGAAGTTCCCAACCTCTCCTTTTTTCTTTTTTTTTTTTTAATTCTGGGATTTATTTACCTTCTATGGCTGTCACTGGAACTGAGAGCCGGCTTTAGCTCTGAGGCTCGGCTCCAGCTCTGAGACCTCGGCTGCTGAAAGCAGGTATCTGGGTTTATTTGGCTTCTATAATTGAAACACTGTTGCAGCTCCAGCTCTGAGGCCCGGCTAGCTGAAAGCAGGTTTCTGGGGTTTGTTTAGCTTCTATAATTGCATCATTGTTTCTTAGAGTGCAGCTCAGAGGCCGGCAGCTGCAGGCGGGGAACCTTGGCTTCCTCCATCACTGGAACAAGCAAGCCTCCTGTTCGCTTCAGCTGCCTGGCTGCTGGCCGCCATCTTGGTTGGCAGTTAATTTGCATATCGCCCGGATTAGCCAATGGGAAGCATGTCGGAGGTATGGTTAATTACCATGTTTGTCTATTATTAGATAGGATTCTCACAGAGCTCAATGGATTTTCCAAACACCCACCTCAAGAAACAGAATATTACCAGTAACCCAGAAAGTTTTTATGTTCCAACCCAATTACCATACTTCCCCCAATCCTTCAGGCCCCATAATGAGCAACCATTGTTCTTCTGGCTTCAGACCCCATAGGTTGGTTTTGTCAGAGCAGTTTGGTTCTGGTTCTGACCATTTCTCATTCACTCCTGTGACAAAATCAGAGTACCCATTAAATAGAGCAAGTCAGGAAACTATGGTCATGGGTCAAATCCAGCCCACTGCCTGTTTTTATAAGTCAAGCATTATTGGGACATAGACATACTCATTTATTTACATATTTTTTATGGCTGCTTTTGAGCTATGTTTACAGAGCTGAATAGTGGCGACAGAGACCATATGTAGCCCACAATGACTACTCACTAACTGGCCCTTTGAAGGAAATGTTTGTCAACGCCTGAGATGCAGTTTTCAGGATAGATTGGTCAGCTGTCCCAAGGCTCCCTAGGGAAAGATATTTACATTTCTCTGTGCAAGCCAAGCTAGTGAAAATCACTAATCCCACTGGTAGTTAACTATCGTTCTAGTGGCTTCAGTCTACAATTGAGGCTAAAGTTTGAAGCGAAGGTAGCTGTGGAGCCTGAGCTACTGACAATGCCCTCCCTAGCTGCCCTTACCCAGTGAAGGGGCAGTGCTGCATCTTATCATCTAGCATCAGTTGCTATTCCCTTAGAGCTTGCTCTCATTTCTTGCACCTAAGCTTGAACGTGTCCTGGAGAGTGGACAGGAAAGAAGAGTACCTGCCCCACAATGGAGCTGTTCTATTTTTATGAGCTTCCAGTCATGCAGTCCAGAGTAGGATATGGCCCGGGAGTTGGATTTGAGGGTGCATACCAGTGGCAGTTCTGCTTACAGATCAGCCAACATTGCATTCCTTTCAGGAGCTCTGTCATTCTGTTTCTGAGGAAGTATAATTTTGCTTCTTTGCCAGCAGCTGCACAGACATATTTTCCACATTACTCAAGCTTCTGCTAGTGGCCACCTGGATGTGACAGAAAGAGTCAAGCCTAAACCGAATTAAAAGTTATCAGTCATCTTAATTCATTTCCAGCAAATTAAAAATTATACACAGTATATTTCATTTGATCATTTAAAAAACCAAGGATTTTTTTTCACACTCTTGAATATTTCTGTTTAGAACATAAATAGATGAGTAGTGCTGATAATGTTCCTTTGCAGTGCTCTGCACGTGGCTGCCTATTTTGGCCTATTTATGTTAACAATGAACTTGAGTGAAGCTAATGAGAAGGTTATTTTAGGGCCCTGGAAACCGCAGTAAAGGAAAATGACAGTTCCCACAGAATCATAGTGTGACTGAAATAGAAAGGTGGTGACTGGGCTCTCTCTGTAGAAGCAGGAAAAGCAGGCTTGAGAGGACTGATGATACTGCTTTGAAGCATTTGGTGTGTGCTTATTAGCATGTCCAGTCTCTTTCTGAGCAAGTTTTCTGGCTGTCGTGGAGACACAGAACAAAAGATTCCATTGTAAAATGACTCAAAGTGATCGAGGTTTCTGATGCATCCTGTCTGCGTCCCCTCTGTAACACTCCTCAGCGCGGTGGACTTCAAACATGTCAGGGAGCCGGGAGAGGAACACACAGTGAGGGTGACCGGTGTATCACACTTAAGCAAGGTTGCACGTGGCAGAGAAAGAACACTTTTGCTCCGAGAAGCTGTTGAGTGACAGGACATTGCAGTGAGAGTAAAAGCCTACCTAGCCACCCAGTCCAGTCTCTGCCAGGGATCATAGAGCTGCTAGTCTGCGGAAGCTAGTCTGGTAAGGCTTCCAATCTGGTATTTAATGTCTCCAGTGAATATGGGTCAAGGTGAATAGATCCCTTTAAAAGCTCTCCTGGCCCAAACTTTGTGAAAACCCAAAGGAAGCTCTGACCCAGATCTCCCAGTGCCTCTGTTAACCAGCATCCCTTCTTACCTAGGAGAGTCTAAGTCTTTGAAAGAGCCAGTTTTCTCGCATCACAAAGTATCCCCTTTGCAGATGGTTATACAGCATGAGCTTATCTTACTTATTTTAATGTCCCTGGCAGGAACTGCTGCTAGTTGGTCTCCGACTCTGGCCACCTCTCCAGCACATTTCTTTTCTTCTTCTTTTTTTTTAAATATATTTTTATTGATTTCAGAGGAGAAGGGAAGAGAGAGATAGAAACTTCAATGATGA